ATGATCTTGATCTTTGATTGTTACCCTAACATTGACCTCTAACCTGTGATACCCCTCAGCTCCTGGGAGAGCTGTCCTACTATCTCTTAGGGACCCAGACCCCTAAATGATCCCTCTCCCTCATTCTGTTGTTAAGGTGGAGAGGGCATGCATTCCCTCTCCCTAATCTAGGTGTCCTTAGATGAGGGATAAGAGGTCATTGTAGTTGCCCATGGTGCCTCTCCCAAACTTTCCCTAGTCATCCCATTGCAAGGGTAAGGGACTTGGTGCTGGGTCTCCATTCACCAAAACGGATATGGCTTCTCAATAACCCTTCAGGTCTCTGAAGGATATGGGCCTAAATGAATGTGTCAGGGGGCCTTGCTGGTGGGTTAGTGGTCCTCAGGATGTGATAGAAATATCCAGTGTGTGAATGGAAGTTGGACTGGGTGGTGGTAGGCAATGAACAAGTTTGAGGGAAGGATTGCAACTGGAACAATGGGCCTGGGGCCATTGACTGCACTAACTTTGGTAGCTGTCTAGACAATGTGTGTCTATAGTGGGAGTGAGGAGGGGGGCAAGCTGAGGCAGGAATGCTTGGGATTTCTCAAAGGGGTGAGAAGGACTACCTTGGGGCTCTCACCATAGTGTGTTAATGTGTGAAGGGTGCTTTTCTGTCTCCCACAACTTCTGCTGTTAACAATACACTGTAGAGGAATCTGAGCACCATTATTATTCTTTGTCTCAGTATGTCTGCATCATGCCCCTTTCCTACCTTCTCCCTGCCCAGCTCTCACATTCTCTTCTCCAAGTGATATAAACCATGGGAGGGGGCTTGCATAACATACACATGTCACAGAATGTGACTTCATAGCTACTGGTCCCTTTCAACAGAATGGTATTGTCCTTGATATTGATAGTATCTTCCTATTTTGGAAGAGGAGCTACTTCGACCTTAGAAGACTTCCTTATCAGTTATTGAGAAATGCCATAGGATTCCAGAGATGTGACCAGCATCATGATCTTGAAGAAGGAAGTACAGAAAGCTGATTGATGTGCCCAAGGACATCTTGTGACCACCTTCCTGCAGGATCTTCTGTGGGGTCACCTAGATTCCATTTTAGGTGGTTCAATATGATCAGCAGACCACTCCTCACGCTGTTTCTAGAGGGGTTATTGGGTCGCTCAGTTGATCTCTATCTGAAGACTCCTTCAGGTGAGTCACAGCAACCAGGATTTCCTCTCAGGAATTCCTCCTCCCACATGAATCCTAGAATTCGGGGAATTAATTAGACTATGTCTGTGGTTCTCTGAGAAGCTTCTCAACAAGTATGAACAATAATTATCAAGAGAGCTTCAGATATTTTGTGGCTGTTGCGGGCTGGCCCTTGGGCTCTTGGGGCACAAGGAGTAAAGATGAGAGGGCACTTTATAGTGTTTACTGGCCAGGGTACTGTGGATGGAATAGTACAAAGTCATTTGCCAGATGATAAGAACCCCACGGGCAATTATACACTTTTCTCGGTGAAACGGAGCTGACGACTAACGCAGCTTATATCTGACGCTGACACGCTGGCGGGGAAGTGGGGCATGGAGCATGCTCTTGATTCTTGGGCATTTCATCATTCTCACAGGACCAAGTCTATCTGAAATGCAGTAGGCTGGGATCAGAAGGGGTAAGGGTGTTGGGTGACCACACACAGGACAGGGAGGAGGCGCTTAATTGGCACACTAAAGAAAAGAAACCGCATGTTTGGAATCATTGGCACAACTGGCTCCTAGGTAAACAAAATGTGAAGAAAAGGCAAAGAACTCCAACCAGCATGAGCCTTGACTGGCAATAGCTGTTGCTGTGCGTTATGCCAGGGAAGGCGCGTCTTCTCAGCACATTCAACCGCACAAGTAACACTGTTAAGTTAGCAGTGTAATCGGAGGAGGGAGAAAATCTCATTTCTGTGTAAAATGTGAGTGTGTGTGTATGTACCTGCCATGGGGCTAGTGTGTGAAATGGGTGGTGACCGTGTGTCTTTCTCCTATAGGCATCCCTGCATAAGAAACCCATGAGTTAGGTAGAGGGAGAGATGCTCTCTGCTGGGAGCAAGGGAGAGGGGTTTGCTGTCCTTGACTGACCTCTCTGTTTTGTTGGTCCTAGACATTCCAGGAGAGCCCATGGAGACGCAGTGCCCCCCTGTGGTTGTCATGGTTCTCCCTAACTTTCCCCAGTTCTCCTGAGTCTCCCATGGTTCTTCGTGAATCTACGCAGTAGTTACATAGGGAGGGCCTGATACCATGGTCTGTGGCTCCTGTCCATTTTTTAAGATCAGAACTCAGAGGCTGGTAGGAGAGGTGGGCTGGCTTCACAGAAGCTGAACCACGAACTCCTTACTTTTTGTCTCTGCTTCAGCCTTAGGACTCCTGTTTCTCTCTTCCCTTCAATCTCAAGAACGTGTTTCCCCAACGTTAGGCACAGAAGTCCAAGATAGATAAGAGATGGCTCATTGAGAAGGAAAATAAAATGGAAGAATACAGTGATGAGAGCCTTGTGGTGTCCACTTGAAAACTATGGAACTCATGAAGAGATTTTAAAGGGTGATTCTCTGAAGGAACACAGTGAAACTGTAGCAGGAAGGACAGATGCCAAGTTTTAGAGCACTCTGCTGAGCCCATGCAGGCTGTATTCCTCTACCAAAGGCGACAGCTCTTAGTGGGTGGCTCTCTGGCAACTTCTCCTTCTCTTCAGCCTAGGTAACAGCATTGCTGTTACTCAGCCCCAAGGTGTTGCACCATTGTTTGTTTCTCTTTCCTAACCCTGGCCACACTTTCTACACAATCCCTTTATTAAACTTGCCTCAATTATCCAGTGGGCTCTCTGCTTTCTCCTGAGACCCTAACATATAAGATAGGAAGTACAGGTAAGGTAAAGATGGAAGGGAAGGGGAAG